AAGTAAGTAAGTAACGTAAGTTAAGTTAGTTAAGTTAACTTACTTACTAACTAACTAACTAACTACTAACTACTACTACGTACTACGTACTACTACTACTCTCTCTCTCTCTCTCTCTCTCTCTCTCTCTCTCTCTCTCTCTCTCTCTCTCAATATTTGGAATCCTTATCAAACCAATATCGAAGATTGAGACTACCTAAACATCTCTCTCTCTAATGAGACCTACATTTTACAAGACTGATGCTCAACCACTGAGTTATAGAGGCAACTGATTGTCTAAACATCTTAATTAACAACATAACAAATTAGCATGCATTTTTCTATACGCATGATTCAATACTGTTAATGTAAAATCAAACATGCAAACTCCACGAGCCATGTCCTAATTATGTTTGGACAGTAGATCTGCATGCTGTAATGTCCCTGTTTCAGCCAATGAGTATCATGAAATTGTTAGCGTTTGAAGGGATGCTTTAAAAGGAGCCAACGTAACACAAATAAGATTTCTGAAAAGTTTTAACCCCTTGAAACTCATACTGTTATGGTTTAATATTGAACCTATTCAGCAGCCTAGATTGAACAGGAACTGAAGTTGTGTCAATAGTGTTGGGGGAAATTGCTGCAAAGACTAATCCCAAAGACAATCTCCTCCCCTCCCCCACCCCCACCAAAAAAAAAGGGAAAAAAAAAGAAAGAATGAAAAAGCGACGATCCATCATGAATTGACTTGTCTTACAAAAGTTGCTTCCATTAAGGGTCACAAGTGTGATGTCCAAGTTCAAATAGAACTGCATAGGATTTAAAGAATTCACCATCTCTAGTTTTCTTTTTGGGCCTCCAATCAAAGTGGGAGATATTTCAGTAGCTCTACTAACATAGATTCTTTGATTTTTCATGTTTAGGATAATCAAGACAGATATGTTTTTCTTTTCCTTGCGGGAATGTCTTTTTTGGCTTCATTTCTCATATTGATGTTCGTGATTTCATAACAAATCTATGTGCTTGTGTGCATAACCATGCTGTTGAGTCCTATTTCTTAGGGCTGGGGTGAATCCTGTACCCCATTAGATGCCCATTATGAAAATTTGTACCTGCATCCAGGCAAAATAAATGATAAGATCAATCTATGCAGAACACCAGGAGGTTCCACAAAACAAGCATTAGACTTAAAAGATTAGGTAGAAAAAACTAATAAATAAGGGTGATGACTTGTAATCCAAATTATAAAAGCATAATCCTCCAAAGAGTTGCATGGGCATGCAAGAAAAAGAGCAGGGCAGAATGAATAGAGTATGAGAATAGCTGACAATAAAACATAAAGAATGACATATCTTTTATCAGGGCAAAACCCATAATCATTTTAATTCGAAGTAGTGTACGTTTGAAGGAATCCCTAAGGGCAATCTCACATGCTAAACATGTGATGTGTCAAGTTCTATAAAGACATCATATAACTATTAGAAACTTTCAACTGTTGTTCATGACATTTCTTCATAGAAGAAAGATGTAAAATCAACGCCAAAGACCACAAATGAAGACCCTGCAATTGTCCATACATCATACAAGAATCACATAATATTGCAATCACTGGAAACCAGATCAAGATGAAAAAAGAATTCGATGCAGAGGACAAAGGAATCAGTTAACATCTCAATTGACTATTTAGGATATAACACAAAAAATACAAATTAAACAAGAAATGCAGATAAAACTCTCATGCAAAATTAATGATGTAAAACCTTCTCCTCTTCCTAGGAAGTTGTCCTAACATAAGCCAAACACTCATTAAAAGCTCACATCTTACGATCACCAATAAATAAACAAAGACATTACTCTTAGTACTCAATGTCCACAATTATGTGATGATATATGCATACCGCTTGCTTTATCGTTCGTGGGAATCCATCAAGAATGAATCCCGATTCACCCTTTGCCTCCCCATTTTCAAGACGTTTGGACAATAGATTGAAAATAATTTCATCTGAAACCAATTGGCCTTGATTTACAATGCTCGAAAGCTGCAAAAAGAATTTTGGAAAAAGAAAAATCAGAGCAAAATTGATATTCTGCTATGCAGGATGAAGGCTAAGGTATCCCATCCAAGGCCACAAAATCATGTCTTTTCATACAGTCATTCTAACAAAACTAAAGGACAACATAAAGGGATTGCAATGCTGAGACTTCAAATCCATTTAGTAATCTATAATAATAACAAAAGCCAAGCAACTATAAGTAATAATTAGTCATTATCAGCCAAAAAAAAAAATGTCATAAAGAAATCTATTCATTGATAAGAAAAAGAAAAACCGTGCACAGCAGTTGGATTGATGGGAAAATAGAATCTGGGGTCGTGAGCAGTAATTTGATTGATGATGAAAATAATTATTGGTTCAGTTCTCCACCTTTAACGACAGAAAAAGGATTGAACTAATTCTATGGAGTCTGACTCAAAGTGATCATTTCTCAAAGATAGACTCTGGTTTTTCAAAAGATTGACCAACCGGGATCAATTTATTTGCGATACTTAATTGCATCCATAAAAAGTATCCAATAAATTATGAGTTCAATAGATCTTGTTTAGCAGAAAGACGAGATCACTTGCTCCGCGATAGTTTTTTCAATAAATTTCATATAATTGATGAGGGATCAGACAATTCATGGATCAGATGTAGGAATAAGAAGCAATAATTGCATCAAGATAGCATGCATTTACCTAGGTTGGTTTGCCCTGTGGGATCTATATCTTAACAACCCTATATTTTGGGAGGATAAGTGGGCAAAGCAGTTCCGTTTCTCAGTCTGAGAAATGCATTGTTGGGACTGGATTGGAGCGGCAAGTAGCTTTAGATTCAAGGGGTTCAGTTAGGTCATTTATACTGATACTGAAAAGATCATTTTATCAGGAAATGGAGACACTATAAGCATTCCCAAATTACCAAACAAGATAATGAACTAAGAGTACAAACACCAACACATTCTGCTATGCATCTGCATAGATGTATCAGAAAACACAAGTTTATATGAACCCCAAATAGTTAATTTATACCAAGATCAACCACATCGACTCTCCAAATCACTTGTAAGCCCAATCGTCAAACCAAACACCAAATCAGATGCCATTAGGAACCCAAAGGATTTATAAATTTTCAATTTGATATCCAAGTTTTCATTTAAAATTTGGTTATTTGGTTACCAAATTCATATGAAACTTATTACTTAGAAGGGAGATTTCGATCCATCCAAAGGAATCTAAATCGAGTTATGAGACAGTAGAGACCACAAACTACAAAAGCAGGGATTTTGGGAAGAGATTTATGAATATCAAAACTCCATTAAATTGGAGCTTGAAGCCCATCCTTCAATTCAAAGATTATGATCTTCCAATCTCTGAACTGCATGCAAATCCAATAGTCCACTCACTCCATTTTCTAGATCATCTTTTGCACAAAACAAAGATGAACAGGAAAATGAAATAAAGAATAATAGAATGAATGTACAAATATGAAATTGGTCAAGTCAGAATCAGCCACAACATAAGACCCAATTATGTGTCCATAATTTCATCATTATACATTCTTAAGGAGTCTTCCCACAGTTAGTGGCTAATCAAACGTCAATATTTACACTATTACATATCGAAAACTACATTATTTTAAGCAAAGTGGTTTGTTGAGATACCCTTGCTAAAGATGAGAAATATAAGTTTATCATCCATTCATAGGCATGTCGACATAGACATATCAGGACTGCAAGTCTGCAACAGAAAAGTTATTGGAGCTGATAGCAAACCACTAGCGTAACAAAAAAATAAGATTATTAAGATGTTCTGTAAAAAGAACAAGTTCTTCAATATCAACAAGTTCTTCAATTTTCCTGATAGGAAAGAATGATCCAAACAATTAATAAAAGGACATGGATTAATGAGTGGCACGAGTTTTTACCTATAAGTGATACCACAAACTATGGTTTCACCTCTTTTGTTGCCAATTATTAGGTATTCTAAATCAACAGATTTATTGTCTTAAATTCACAAAGAACTGCTGGTACTAAATAGTTCAAGCTCAACCAAACTCCAAGTTTCATGAAATCGCTTAGAAACAAAAAATCACTAAGTTAAGCATTGTTAGAGCTACTTTAAGCTTTCAATTTCCAAAATAATAAACAGATCTCAGCAATTACCTGTCAAGAAATCCCTCCATTTCTAAGAAATTCAACAAAGACATGAAGTAAAATAGAAGCAATTAAACCTCGAGGGCGCTCCCATGAAATTCCCCTATTTGTAATAAATGCGTCAAATAAAAAAATCAAGCCCAATTAAAAGAAGAAGAAGGAGAAGAGAAAGCTCAAACATGCATTGAAGCAGAGAAGCCTGAGACGAGGTTCCAGCAAGGGAACATTTCTACGAGAGAGAGAGAGAGAGAGAGAGAAAGAAAGAGGGGCAGCTCTGCAACAGGTGATTTAGAGAGAGAGAGAGTTCCCTCTTTACCTCATCAGCGAGAGGGCCAGAATTAGCGAGCTCTTCTCTGACTAGGTCACCAGTGGCGATGTGAGGCACGGCAAGCAAGTGAGAAAGTCGACTCGCATAAGTGCCCTTTCCGACGCCAGGGCACCCCAAGAACACCCACTGAACGTTCCTCTCGCTCGGGTCTCGCCGCCATGGCTGAGAACTCCTACTAGTACTTTTAGAGAGAGAAAGGTTGTGTAAGCGAGACTCCGCCTCTGAAACTAGACTGGAGAAGGGGCGAGAGGAGAGAGAAGTCAAGGATCTGAGGAAGCGGTTCATAGCGGTCATTTTGAGGTGCAACAGCAGAGAGAGAGAGAGAAGGGTTTTCTGTTGCACGACGAAGAGGTGACCTGTAGATCGGTATATATATCAAAGTTAGCAAATCGCAGTCTTATGGAAACAGTTTTAAACGGTGACCTTTTTGAAAAGGTCGTGAAGCAATCGTGTTCTTTTAATAAAACGTTTAAAACGCGATTTTTTTCATAACACGATCTAAATCAGGCCAAAAAAATAGTATTTTTTTTTTCTTTCTATTTTGTGTATTGCAGCCATTGTTATTTTGAAAAAAATATTATTTCAAAAAAAAATCTAAAATATAAATTTTTATCCCCATTGTGTGCTTCTTCAAAGCTATAGTTACATATTGAAAGTATGAATTTTTTTCCTTTTTTAAAAAATTTAAACAAATTGTTATTATGGAAAATCATTGTGTAAATGAAATAAATACTGTTCATAGCAAATCATTTCGTAAAGTAAATCATTGTATAAAAAAAATCATATACATACAGATTTATGTTATTATTTGTGATAATTGTTTTAATGAAAATAATGTTTATGGCACAAATCAGAGCTCAAAACATAATCTTTTACTTAATGAGAAGCAAAGTGGGTGAGTACATGACCCAGTAATCAATATTTTGTTTTTGCTTATGTGATAACAAATATAAACAATATAGTGTAAACTGTAAACTTACAGGAGCAAGCAATCCCCTAAACTTAATCCTTCGGCTCTTTTCCTGTTTTCCAACAAAATGAAAAACCTTATTCCTTTTCTCTCTCTAAAAATAAATCAGTATAATTAAGGCTTTCTCTCAAACAACAACTCAAATCAGAGAGAAATATCCTATTCAAAAATCAGCATCACATCTTCTTTTTCTCTCTCTAAAAATCAATTAGGGCCTTTTCCATTAAAACATTAGGGTTTGTGAAGCCGATGAGCTCTTCCTTCTTCCTTCTTCTCTCTATAAACGATGAATTTTTCCTACTTCCTTCTCTCTCTATACCTAATGGCTATGATCCCAACGCCCATTTTCTTATCTTCCTTTGCTTCTCTCTCTCTAAACCGTAAAGACAAGACGTGAAACCCAAATTTCTAAGAGCCTATTTTCAATCAAAAAAATTTATAGAACTTTAACCATAATTATATAGTGACCATAGTCACTATGCTATAGTTAAATCATTGTAACAAGAAAACAAAAATCGCGTACTCTTCCTTGGTACCAGCCATAAGTATGAAAAAAGTTTATATATGGATGCAATCTTATAATGTAGAACTACATATGCACCTCAAAAATCTATCGAAAAATGTAGTTTTAATATTGAAAAAACTCTTTAATTAATCATCTCGACATAGAGATATAAGACCACGAAAAATAAAAATATTTTAAGTCTAAAAAATAGTGCATTTTACAACATATTATCTACACTGTCTATTTTTAATATTTTCATGTGTTTATAGATCTACTTGATTTTAATTATTTTTAAAATTTAAAATTTTACAATCAGATATAAAAATAGATTTTGAGATAATCCTAATAACATTTTACATCAAAATTATATACCATGATAAAATTTGAAGGTACACCTTACCTCTACATATACGGATGCATCTGAATGTCAACTATACCTTTTAAGTATTTAATGAATTTATGTAGTATATTTGTCACCATACCATAGTTAAAATATTTAATGAATAAATTTATATAGTATATTTGTTTTTGGTATGTAATAAGTAGGTGTGATGTTTCTTAAAGTATTTAATAGGTAGATTTATATGATACTTTTTTTTGTATATACTAGTTAATTATGTATTTAATATTAATTGATTGGATGAGAGTCACGGACATTTAAATTAATTGACTTAATTATATTATTCTAATAAAAAATTTATGGATGAATTAGTAATTGATAGCTTAACATAATTTTTATTTTTTAAAATTTTAAAATTTCTAATAGTATAAAATTATTTGATTTTTTGATTCCAATTTTTTTTAGCCTAATCCGATATATTAGCGATATTTTTATATGAAATATTTTTACCAATCCGTATTTTTTACCTGATTTTTTCATCCGACTTTTAAAAATAAAAATGATTTATTTCTGATTTTAAGGTGAACATAGTCCCAACTTGCTAACTATGATATATATAGGGCACACGGGTTTAATGGCGAGCCTGGAGGGGCCTTTCAGTTTTTTTTGCGTGCGCGTGAAGAGAGAAGGAGAGAGGGCGCGGACATCCGAAGAGATTTCTCTGCGCTCTTTGTGCGCCTCACCTCTGAAATAAAGTAGTGAGATGGACATTAGCAATTTGGTCCCGCGGGATCAACGTATATATTGATATACAATCTTCATTTTTAATGCCTTATGCGCATCTTTTGAAGGTAGCTTTGAAATATTTATGATGGCTAAGATCGAGTTTGAGAAAAAACATTCGATTAGTTTCAAAATTCCCCCGAATCTGGTGCCCATAGCGACTAAAATCGCATTGGTTGGCCTTAATCAATTGCTCTAATACCATGTTAGAAAATAGAATTGAAAAAGAGAAAATCACAGAGATATACGTGGTTTGGCTGTTCAGCCTATAAATAACAATGGGAATAGAGCCTAGGACGTTATGTTGGAGTCTACGACAATGCTCCTTCTTTGATGATGTTTTCAGACACTCCATTTGTTATGCTTAATAGTGTTGAGCAAATTTTTTTAGAAAAAAATTGGATAAGGAATTGTCGATTCAAATTGAAATTTGTTTTTGCTTAATATGTCTCCCCACCCATTGATTCCTACTAATTTTTTTATTTTTTTTAATCGATGGGTGAGGTTTGTATAAGGTGTTAACTTTGTACTATTGAAGTAAGGTGGATCCTAAAACTATGCTGAAAATGTTGTTTCAGTATCGCAAAGCGTTGCATTGATATGAAAATATATTATTGCCTCCAATTATAAAATTTAAAGTTTTAGAAATAGTGATGATCAAACGGATCTGTAAACACTTGAAAATAGATAATCCGATAATGTATTAGAATAGAAGCTATTTTTAGGCCTTTGTGTCTACGAATCTGGAGGTCAAGATGATCACTTTGAGGTTTTCCGATATAAAAACAACCTCCTCTAACGGGTTTTCTAGGTGCACCTTGACACCTTATATAAATTTTTTTCTTTATTAATTTATTGTTTGACCATAGGGCGATCCACCCCACAAATCAACTCAGCTCTGGGCCTATTAAAAGTCGATCTTTGATCTCGTTTGAAGGCTCCCATAGTTGGTCTCATGAAACACGAAATCTCTCGTAGTGTACTTACGTGGTCCTGCTTGACGAGATTGCTCATTCAGTGGTCCCCCGGTGAAACATGTGACTTGTTTGTAAGCCATAAGAACAAATTAAAAAACCTCCTGCATTCGGCAGAACTTTAGGGTTTTCAATGGGCCAGCCCAGCCTATACCGCCATGGTTCAAGAGTTAGGCTCGGGCAGGGATGGCAATGGGCTGGGTGGCCCTGCCCGGTCAGACCGCCCCTAAAAAAATAAGGCATGGGCCACAAATTTTGGCCTAAGGGCTGAGCCAATATTGAGCTAGCATGAGCCGAGCCGAGCAAGGTCTAGGCCATGACCGCACATAGTTTTTTATTTTATTTCACCCGGTCAGGCCTTGATAAGGTGGGGGCTGGGTTTTGGTGAGGGATTTTTTTGGCCTGGTCAAGGGCACGCAGGGTATGGGCTGTCCCTGTAGAGATTAGGTCTAGATTTGGCCCAACTCCTCGATAGCCTTAGGCTCAAGCATAACCTGGATCGGCCCAGCCTAATCCGAACTCCCCCCTCTTTTGATTGTATTTGACTCAGCCCTAGGCAAGGGCCTTCTCAGCTTGGTCTAGGGAGGACCAAGCTCAAACCAACCGTATCAGGTCTACGGGCAGGGCTAACTTTGACTGGGCCCTAGCCAAGCCCATTGGCAACCCATGGCCATGACTTCATCGCCTCACACACCGAATACTTTTGTATCTCTTACCTTTGCTTTGCATTGGGCATCGAAGCCCAATATTTTGCATGTGATTCATTCCAATGTCGTGATTCACTTTGTTGATAAACTCAAACCTCTTATAACTCCTTATATTTTGCACATATTTTGCACGGTAGACTGCTGCCTCCATTCCAACACGGTAGATAGCTGCTGCCTGCAGCTGCCTCCATTCCAACACGGTAGATAGCTGCTGCCTGCAAAAAAAAAAAAAAAGCCCTTCAATCGTGGATAGCAAGTTGATCGACTCTGAAGTTTAGCGATCTGTTGTCTTGGTGGTTTTCTCTTCAAAAGGGTTGTTATTTTTGGCCGGTACATGGCTATTCACACTCCATTTGCTTCTTTTTTATTTAATGGATGAAAATAATAAAGTAGAACCTGTTAAAACTGTGGTTCATGAATCCGAAAGTAACACCTCTTTGAGATTAACTTCAACACTATTCAATTGTTTTAATTATTTATCTTGGGCCAGAGTCATCTCTCTTGCTCTTGGTGGTCGGGGTCTATCAAAACTCAAGTATATCAACGGCAAGAAAAAGGCTTTGAGTAGTGATGAACTTGAGTACGAAGATTGAGAAACAGATGATCAACTTATGATGTCATGCATATTAAATTCAATGGATCCTAAAATTGCTGAGATATTTACTCGTGCCAAGAATGCTAAGGATCTATGGGGTTCCATAAAAGAAGTTTATGGACTGCAAAGCAATATTGCTCAAATATTTGAGTTAAAACAAGAGATATACAAAACCAAGTAAGAGAATAAGACTACAACTAAATTGTTGGGTATTCTGAAACCTATGTGAAATGAGTTATCTATATATTGTCTTGCTACTACTGATGTTTCCACTATGCAAAAGAGACCTAAGTAGGATAAGATCTTTCAATTTCTTGCTGCTCTCAAACCCAATTTTGAGCAAGTAAGGGCCCAAATTTTGATGTCATCTTAATTGCCCAGCTTCTCATCAATTTTTTGTAGTATATTACGCGAAGAAACTAGGAAAAAATTGATGAATATTGAAGTCAAAATTGAAGATGAGAGTAGTGAAAATATGCTATGACTGTTG